AGGCCCAGTTCAGACGTCGTGCTTCTGCCGTGCCAAACTAAATTGCAATTTGGTTCGACTGTAGCACGGCAGGAAATCAACTCTGATTCAGACGTCGTGCCAGAGTCGAATCAATTCAGGGTTTACTGAAACCTCGTAACAATTCTCCTCCTAACTCCCGTCAGGGAACGCAATCTCGCCAAAAGACATTAACATAATTTATGAATTTAGTTTGGCGCGACAGAAGCACGACATTTGAATCACTGTCGTGCCACAGTCGTGTAGCACGGCAGAGCTTGTCGAACTTAATTGCTTGCCGAGCTTAATTCAAAAGTTTGATTCAGACGCCGTGCTTCTGCCGTGCTTTCGTCGAACTTAATTTCTGAATTTGGTTCGGCACGGCAGAAGCACGACGTCTGAACTGGGCCTGAGGGTTCTAGGCGTCTCGGCTAGTCTCGGATTTTATCATTCCCCACCTGAAGACTTTTCGGGATATTTCGTTTTCTGTTTTCCAAAATCGCTCAACACTTTTAAATTGAATATATAAATTTAGGGAGAATGTTGTGTCGATCCAGGGATATTCTTCTTCTCAGGGATGGCTTGTGCTATGATCGGTTATGATGGAGCTGATGATGCACATCATATTCCGCGTGGTAATCGCCACAAAACTAAACTATATATGACTTCAATTGTACTGTAAACGATACATTTTGAGTTATTTACTTACCAAGCTCAACAAGTTAATCACGCTTTCAAAGGAAACTGTTGTCAGACAGACAGCACATTCGAGACAGACTATGAATAATTAGCAAAACTGTACTGCTCGAGCGCAACTCTATAGCATAGTTAGTAGAGGAGACTGGTTATGAAAGTCGGCAATCTTCAAAGCGCGAAACAATAGGGCCGCTTCTGATGTTGAACGTACCTGTCACGTGATCTCGACGGTGCACAAACCCAAACACACTTTCAAAGATGGCGGATGCAAGAGACGACGTATTCTTGTTCGGCGATGATTTTGAGGCAATTTTAGACCTTCTTGACGAAGATGAAGCACTGCAGGAACAATTTTCAACTGTTGCTAGTGAAGTAAGTGCCAATTATATGAATATTCACCCGCACTTAGTCTGTTTCTAAAGGAATTACGGAGCTGCACGCGACTGTACTGTCACGCCAGCAAAAAAAAACAGTAAATAAAACATTGATCCGACGTTTTTAGATGATTCTTTTCCTTCTAAAAAAAAATCAGCACTCTAAGGTCGGAGCTNCTTATATTGGTTTCGTTATCGTTTTTCTCATTTTTATTCTGTAAGAGCATTGAGATTTTTTAATGTAATGTGCTAGAAATAAATTATTATTATTAAATTATTATTCTGTAGTCTAGAAATTTCATAAAAATACATTCACTTGCTTTAGCAGAAGTGCTGTAGATGCTTTAGGTGCTGAAATTTGCCCGATTATACTTTGTTTTGAGAAGACTTCACAAGGCATGCAACGACAACAACAAACTCGATATTGACAAATGTGTCTTTAGGAAACAAGACTAGTGACATTAGATCGTAGATAACTGCAATATTATTGAATTATAATTTGATACTTTTTCGTTTTCAGGTCCAATCAACAGAGATCGTGTGCAGCGACTGGGGGAAAAAGTACAAGTCTAGAGGAGGTTACCAAAGGCACAGAGCTACAAAGCACAATTCAAATCAAAACTATGTCTATAGCTTAAATAATCATTGTCAGGAAGTTTAATTTGCATAGTCTTGCCGCCATCAAAACAGGAAGTTCAAATTATGAAACTAAAATATTTCCTCTGTTGGTCATTTTTCAGTAAGAGAAATAGTTGATGATGAATGGCTGGACTTTTAGTTGTTACTTAAAAAGTAAAAGTACAGTTGTGCACATGTAGAGCAAGTGTCTTCCGAATTTCAAACGTGGTGTAATCTGTTGTAATGGACATGCGTGGACGGTCATTACCGCCAAAAATATAAAGAATGCAAACAGTCATAGTATGGGCGGCCGTTTTTGCCAAATATACAGACAATTCATTGGTGAACAATAAATTCAATAAAGACAACAGAGGGTTTATGTCACGGGCCTGTGAGTTGATAGTTGTCCTTACTGTTAGTAATTACGTTATAAATAACCACCTCTGTGTTTTTTGAAACATTTATTTTAAGAAATTTTAAAATGTTCGTGGCTAACTATCAGCGCATAGGCCCTTAATCCTTTGGAGGCGTTCGCCGGTGCAAAGAACAGAATGGAAAAAGGCTAGCGGTATGGGATGAGAAAGCCAGCAAGGGCGTTTTCTTCCCTACCTTCCCCATGTTTTGGCGTTCATCTCGTTCCCCTTTTGCTCATCTCCATGTGATAGCTTGGCCAATCAGATCGTAGCCTGTGAACAGGCTCCGGCTGAAAGGCAAAAAAGGAACTTGCTGAGAGTGAAGTGGCCGAGGGGAGAACGGAGTGAAATGGGTCCTCTCTCTTCTATCCTTTTTCTTCCCACTTTCTCCTCGCCCCATCCTAGACTAGAGAGCCTGTTCACAGCCTAATCAGATTGCAGTATTTGCATTGGTTTATTAGTAGAATTCTACAAAATACCTATGCAAAATTTCATGAAAGAAGCCAGGAAGTGAGTAACAAATATTGTAAAATATGTACTGTATCTCGGCCACGTGGTCGGTCTTTCATCATTACTCGTCAGTCTCGAGCACTAGCCAGTCACATTTTGCTGACTAGATCCACCTTGGCAGACCCGTAGAGAAATTTAAAAAATGGTCTTACCTTGAAAATGAGGTTAAATGAGCCAAACTCAAACTGGAAACACAGGTTTAGTACCTTTTGATAGGATGAGAGACGTCCAGGGGTTGGACTGAGAGCAGGAGAAAGCTTAAAGTTCAGGTTTAGTTCACGAGGACGTACGGACATCAATAGTGACATATCCAAAGCCTACGTGCCTCCTGAACCAAGAATCTCCGCAGCCGAATTAAAGTGGCTCAAAACAGTTTCCAGCGCTTAAATTTTGATGGGTCATTATAACCACTCCTTATCACTTGGTGCTACAATCATGGTATCAAAAAACTGCCCAATCATTGGTGAACACGTAACGTTATCATTTTCGTGACACAATAGGTTACCATAGCAAAAGTATGACCTGCTAAAAACACCCTTAATTACAGTTTTAGGGGCTTATAATTCAAGAGCGGCTCGGTGAATTTTTTTATATTATCAAATTTTGATAAGCATGATAAGACACAACTTTTGGCAAGGATGGCTGTTTTCGCAGGCTAACATAAGGTACGGTACTTTTATTTAAATTATTTTTTACGCGTAGCATTCAGAATAATTCTCCAAGCATTCTTATTCATTGCCTTATAAACAGCTAAAACGGTAACGCAGTCGTATTCATATTCAACGTCTCGCTGGGATCTCGGTCAGAAAGCCTGCGCATCCCTGTGGATCCTTGTGCTCATCTTCTCCCGACAAGCCGCCATTTTGAAAATCATCGAGGAGAAGGCCCTGGGGATGAGGTTGCATCTTCTTTCTATTGAAAGACCACTGACGTAAAAATTCGCAGTTTCTGAGGTTGAAAAAAAATGGCGGACTACCGCCACAGATGGAAACTGCCTGTCCTCGATGATCTTCGCCAAGCTTACTTATTATCAACGTATTGAGCTCCCAGTTTATTGCTAATTTAAACCTTGCACAAGAGTAGCAATTTCCTACATTGAAATGTCCTTAAGACATACAACACTATCTTCTTGTGGTAAAATTCTCTTCGCAAGTGTAAACTTGCATGTAGCAGCTCTTTGTCTGACCGTCTTCTTCCCTACCAAAGCACACGATTGCCATCGTAACTTGGAGACGGTATGGCAATCAGATGTGGGGTCATCTCCTGTTGTATCAAGCTCGTTNGACCCACACATTTTGTCAACTCCATTCATTGCAGACTTCAATGGTGATGGATCAGAAGAAGAGCTTATCATTGTCACTAATTTTTATTTTGAAGAAAAAAGGTGAAGAACTCAAACTAAATATTTTAACTCGAGTTTCCATGGTTTTCATGTGAATTGATAACACCTGTTTGAGTTTTGCTGCTGTTCCCATGATGTGTCCAGCTGGGCTACACTTACATGCACAGTGCACATGCAGCACTATTATAAATATATAATAGGTTATGATATGTGATAATTTAAACCATAAAATTGTGACAATACACTCATATGCCCTGGATTTATATTTTGTTTGAAGAGCTTTTTTGTAAGTTCACTTTGTTTTTGTGTGTTTGTTTTTGGGGTGGGGGAGAGGGTTTGTTATCAGGGGGGAAGGGGTTAGCCATGGCAAGTGAAATATTTTTACCATGGTAATTTAAACCATAAATTGCAATAATAGGCCTTTGATTTATATCTGTTTGAAAGGCTTTTTTTAAGCCTACTTTGTTTTTGTTTGTTTGTGTGTGGGGTGTGGGGAGAGGGTTTGTTATCAGGGGGGAGGTGTTATCTACATCACGTGTTTGAAACAAAGACATGACACCCTGGTATAAAGAATAGTGATAACAGGTGGAATCAGCGACAATCTAAACTTAATAGTGCACTGCACCTTGGTTCCTCAAAAATGCTTTCAAAAAATTAATATGGGTAGTTATTTTGCATTGGATCTGCTATTAAGGAATCCTGGTGAAACTCTTTACTCTTAGCATATTAACAGAGTTACCAAGAGTGCAAATAAGTTACAGTCATTTTATTAAATGAGTAATTAGTTAGAGTTTCACAAACATGTTGCACTCTCTGCACAGTCTATCATCTTCATCTGGTCAAGGTTTGCCATCAGAGGAACTTCAGAATTATCTTGGCAGTGCTGTGATAGTGTTCAACCTTGACAAAAAGGAGCTTGTTTTCTCTTCCATTTTGGATGTGTCCAGGGTAAATATCTTTCTGTATTGTTGATATTTCTCTTAGCTGGAAGATTATTTAACAATGATACTAATGGTGAAACTGGTTGCCATACAACCAACTTGTTAAATGCACGCATCTTCATTAACAACAACCAACAACAGCAACAACAACAATATTTGCGCCCTTTACATAAGAAAAATAGATTAATTTCAGGTTGAAATAATTACAGATAGAGAGAGTATTGCCACTTAAAAGTAGCAAATTGGGCTATTTATGTTGGTCTAAAAAATATTGGTTTAGTGACCAATTTTACTCTCACTGTCATTTTTCACACTACACTACTTAGTATATTCATAGGTGCATATGGTTAAAACATTAGGGTTTACAGCTAAACTAAATTTTTAACCAACATGGCAGCCATACTCCAAATAATAGGTTGACAGAGACATGCAGTCTTGGATTACCGTGTACTTCTTTGATATTGGACATCCAAGTTATAATCAATTGACCCATGTCAAATCAAGGTATCCGCTGACCAGTATCATGTGACCATATCGTGGGCTCAAGTTTATAGCTCATCGAGATCACGTGTTTTTTTTTTGAAGTTGACTGCTGACCAAGTGCTGGATTTCGATTGGATCGTGGGCTCATGTCAGGTCAACTTGTTGAAAACAGGACAGGATTGTTAGGAAGCTGGTTAATGCTAACCCAGGATTAAAAGTTAACCGAATTATAACTTTTCTTCTATAAAAATGTTTTTTGTTGCTTTGATTATTTTGTGTATATGGTGATTATTAATTAACAAATAAAGAAGCCTCGACTGTGCTCTGTTCTGTTGTAAAGCACGCAGGAAGCGGTAGAGCACGAAAGAAGTGTAGGGGAAAACACGAGA